TAGGCCGTGACTTGACGGCAAGTCGGTTGATAATGTGCTGTACGCAGACATCAACCTCAATAGAGCAGTGACTTTGCCGCGGTATTTTCTCATTGTCAGAAATGAAAGAAGGAGGAATTGCCCGATTGTGCCACTGATGGGTAGTGCTGTTCATGTCTAAGTAATCTGGCACTGGGCTGCGGAACTTGACTTGGCTACAGTCTATGTACGCGCACCCGTAAAGGTTATAGTCACACATCCATTGTAGCAGGTACTGCATGTGGCTTTCGTACGGCTGAATGACCTTCTTCATAATCGTGCCCTGTCGTAAAAGGTCTGCCAAGCGAGTCATGTGGAGTGGATTCAGCATGTAGATTTTGAGAAAGAACTTGTAGCCGACGTTATAACCGTAAAAGGGAACACCCTTGACAAGAGTGATGTGCCCAACGAAGGCGAATTTTCCCTCGTACATATTGCGGCGGTAGCTGACTGCAAGGGCATGGTCGATGGATAGGTTGAGTTGACGAATGTATGCGGTTACTACAGGCCTATAAGAGAATTTTCTGGACCGGGATAAGAAGCGGGCCTTACCATCTTCCTGTACCAGACTCCCATCGTATCTGACGTATAGGTACGGCAACGCGCCATGAACATGGGCGCATACCTTTTGTCCTGTTTCAGTGGCGCCAAAAACCCTTATAACGGGGACCTTGGGAACGGCCCTCTGCTGGTTGGAGGCATGGACACCAGGGAGTTGGGGATCGAATGCAGTAGGAGTTGCTTGGTAGTGGTCAACGCAGTTCAGTCTAACGCGAAAGAGGTCCATCGAAGATTCGAGTGCATGATGGAGCAACCGTGCGATGGGTTGTCACAAAGTTCCGAGTATCAAGGCATCAAAGCACCATTGGATGAGGAACAAGAGACAGTAGAAACACGAACGGAACCTGGATGACGCGAACATGCATCGCGAAAACACATGCACTTCACTTCAGCACTACGGACATAAGCTATTTCCGATACTTCGCTCTACAACCAAGTATGAAGAAGCTCTTCACAATATAAGCACATCAAATGTGCTCTCCCCCCGTCAGCCCGAGTCTCCAAGCATTGATATAAAGCGGGCGAAAAACTTCACTTTCCCGAGATCTCGTCGGTTTGATTATTCTCACAGTAATGGAAGCGATCATTACACTCCTCCACTCGAAGACCGTCGCACCTTTTCACACGCCTTCCTTTCATCGTCATCATGTCCAGAAAACCTGCAGAACCCGCCAAAAAAGAGCAGAACGAGTACATTCCCTCCTTCATCTCCAAAAAGCCTTTCTACCTTGAATCTGCGGACAGCGAAAACGACTACCTCGAGCATCAACGTCTCCAGACCTCTACACCCGACCAGTCAAAATGGTATGATCGTGGAAAGCGACTTGGTCCCGCAGCTACAAAGTTCCGCAAAGGCGCTTGTGAGAACTGTGGGGCTTTAACACATAAGACCAAAGATTGCTTGAGCAGGCCAAGGGCGAAGGGTGCTCGGTGGACGGGCAAGGACATTCAAGCCGATGAAGTAGTGCAGGATGTTGAGTTGGGCTGGGATGCGAAAAGAGATCGGTGGAATGGATATGATGCGGAGCAGTACCGAAATGTAACCGAGGAATGGGAGGAGTTAGAGAATCTGAAGAAAAAACTGAAAGGCGAGGAGGCAGACGCCAGTGGACAGAAGCTTCTGACTGAGGATGACGAACAGAGACCAGAGGGTGAGGAAGAGGAGGCGAAGTATGCCGAGGAGTCTGATATGGGGCGGCAGCAGAGCACTGCTACTAGAAACCTACGAATACGGGAGGACACAGCCAAATATTTGCTCAATTTGGACTTGGATTCTGCTAAATATGATCCCAAGACAAGATCAATGGTAGACATGGGCGCTCAAGCCGACCAAGCCGCCGCTTTAGTTGCAGAAGATAACTTCATGCGAGCTTCAGGGGATGCAGCAGAATTTGAGAGAGCGCAGAAATACGCATGGGAGTCACAAGAGCGAGGAGACAAGGACAAAACACATCTGCAAGCCAATCCTACTTCGGGCGAATACTTTCGACGAAAAGAAAAGGAAGAGAGCGACGTGCAACGGGAGGCGCAACGAAAATTGCTGCTGGAGAAGTATGGCGGTGAGCAGCACCTACAACCGTCCAAATTGCGAGATATGGCCGTTGTGGAAAACGAACGATACGTGGAATACGATGAGACAGGAGCGATCAAAGGAGCACCGAAAGCGGAGGCGAAGTCAAAGTATCCGGAGGACGTGTTCCTCAATAACCATACTTCAGTATGGGGAAGCTGGTGGTCCAATTTTCAATGGGGCTATACCTGCTGCCATTCTACAACTAGAAACAGTTACTGCACAGGTGAAGAGGGCAAGGTAGCCTTCGAAGAAGCCGACAAGATCCGGACCGGTGGAGAGCTTGAAGGTGTGACCGACATAAAGGCAATCCGATTAACCGAAGACAGTGTTATACAGACTGTAGAAAAGAAAGAGCCAGTCGAGAACAAGAGAATGAATGGGAAAGCAGAGGCAATGACGAAGAAAAGGACATTGACGGAAATGAAGGGTGGTGTTAGTGAGGAAGAACTCGAGGCTTACAAAAGGTCCAGGGCAATGACAGATGATCCTATGGCAATGCTTTTAGGCACAGACGAGCTCCTGCATTAGTGTCCAAAGTGTCCAAAGTGGATCTCTGCATTGCGTTGGCGTCATGGTCCAGAAAAGTCCATTGGGACCTCGCGGATAGCCCGAGGACGTAGAAGATACCAATGAGCGAGTTTTTTGCAATCATGGCTTGATTTAATTGATTGGTCTACGCTCAGACGTAAACTGGCCTATTGCTTGGAGAATTTTGCCATGCTCTGACCGTGCCTGTAGCCAGAAGACAGCGTCTAGCATACGGTAGGCCCCGCTCACTCCTCTTCCTCCTCACCAGCATCACCCTCATCCTTCTTCTCCGCAGCTCTAGCCTTCTTCCTCCTCACACGTCCAGGGCGTCCACCACCAAATGGCGAGGTCAGAGCAAAATCAATATGCTTTTGCGAGTCGAGACGAACGACGAAAGATGGGACGTTGACGATTTGCTTTCCAACACTACAAGAACGCCCTCGAGATCAGTATTGTCCATGTCACATCGTAGACACAAGACCTACCGAATGTGCCTCTGCCTTATCAAGACCCTAGCATGATGAATGCTCTTCGCCAATCCGAGCTTGTAGACACAAGTTTGTAGCCGCCTCTCCAAGAAATCCTCCACCTTGAGCGCAAGCACGTAATCGAGCTTCATGCGGGATTCATCAAGCACACCAACACGTACGAGACGGCGAATCAAGGCGTTTCCCTCGAAAAGACGCTTTGGATCCTTCTCCTCCATGGTCAGGAGTTGACTGTGTGATGGGCCATAGGTTAGCGTGCGTAAATTATAAGGAGTGTAGCAAATAGAGAGATACCGAGCAGCACGACGGATCTTGGAGAGGGTGAGCATAACGCGCCACACCTCACGCTTGTTACGGAGGCCATATTCGCCGACGATCTTGAGCTCAGAGTCCCTGTAACAGGAGTCAATTTGAATCCATCGACATGAGCAGAGCAAGCTCTTGCTTCAGTGGCCGGGAAATACTGACAGACGAGCAGCCTCGAAAGCTATGGACGTGGTCAGTCCGTGAGAGCACACATCTCAATGTCGGAAGTTACTTACGACGACGTGGCACCTTGTAGGTCTTGCTGTATGATCGTGGTGCCATGACTGCGGATAGGACGCTTTGGCAAGAAGTTGAGAATGGTTTCTTCAATGTGGGAAGGGAGCGGGTAATTAGCGCCCGGCCAAGACCCTAAGCGAGCCCACCACGAACTTTGCCCTCTAGAAGAACAACAAGAAATAGTACGACGACAAACCCAAGTCAAGTTCAACAAACGATCCTTAAGTCACCATGGGTCACTCGGGTGGTCTCCGTGCCGGCACTCGAGTATGTGAAAGATCTCGGGAGTAGCGTTGGACGGCTTTATACAAGCTGATCTCCATCAGCTCTACTTTGCTCTCAACCACAGACTCAGAACTGACTGGGGCTACAGTATGCGTTCTCGCGCGACTTCAAGAAGAAGGGTATGATCAAGCTCTCGACATACTTGAGACAGTACAAGCAAGTCTTTACCTTCGAGCCAAATCCGCAGCTGATAGTCTAACGGGTCTTTAGAGTTGGGGACATCGTTGATATCAAAGCCAACGGAGCCGTCCAAAAAGGGTGGGCATTTTCTTCTACTTTGGACAATCCAAAACGATCTTCCTGATAAGTACCGTAGCATGCCTCACAAAGTTTACCACGGCAAAACCGGCGTCATCTACAATGTCACCAAATCCGCAGTGGGCGTCATAATCTACAAGCGAGTCGGCAACCGGTACATCGAGAAGCGAGTCAATGTCCGCATCGAGCACGTCTCGCTCTCCCGCTCACGAGAAGAATTCATCAACCGAGTTAAAGACAACGCAGGGAAGAAGCAGAAGGCTAAAGCCGAGGGTGTGCACATGTTCTTGAAGAGGCAGCCTCTAGGACCGAGGGAAGAAAGAACAATCGATGCGAAGGGAGGAGTTGAGACCGTCGTGCCGATTGCTTACGAAACGACAATTTAGATGGAAGAGTACCGTGCAAATCAAGCCTGAATACTTCACTGTGGAAAGCTTTGAGATTCACCCACACATTCCTGATATTGACAACTGTGACGCCTATGTAAATGCTCAGACAATGATGAAATTCTCATGGCCCCATGCTATATGTTTCCCTTCCACAAATGCAGTCAATTCCACCGAACGCCTGCAAGCTGGTAAATAGACGGAAGACCATGTGGCTAATGTATGTGGTTTCACAATGTTTTCTGGAGCAGGACGCTCTCTTGGGTGCTATGAGAATAGCTCATCTACTTCATATCAAATTCTTTCTTTCAGAAGCGCTCCTGTCATTCCCTGTATGTGGGGCTGGAGTAGGAAGTAAGGCTACCAGTGGCTTTCATCATCGACAGCATCATCATTTGTAGCCGGAACTCTTTGACTCCTCAATCGTGCTCTGTAGTGGCTCATCAGTCGTCCGTCTCGCAACGGACGTGTGTTATCGTAGAGATCATCATCCATCTCGAGTCGCTGATCCACCCTCAAGCCCATCTTCGGTTCGCCTTCATCGTCTTCTGCTCCGTCGTTCCAGCTGTGCGTTGTGCAGGTTCCAGTGGACATGCCCCAACCATTCCAGGATGTTGCTGGGATACGTCAGTACATTGACTTTCGGGTCCTTAGCCGTTGCCAATGGAGAGAGCCAAACTTACCAGCAATGACGGGTGCGTTGGGATGCCAGCTCGCATCCCGAACGCACGTCTTCCATGCGCCCCTGCTCCGACCTTCCTCAGGTTCGTAGTGACTAGCGTACAGATCCGGATCTCGAGGCCGAGAGTGATGTGTCGCTTGGTTGACATTGACTTTACCCGCTAGAGTCGCATCCATGTTGTAGATATAGACGCTCCCATCTTCGCTTCCCGAGTAGACATATCGAGAGTTGGTGCTACCAGGCGGTGAAAAATGACATCGTATTAGCGTTTTCAATACTCGATGACCCCGAAATGTGACGAGTGAACAATCATAAGGATGCGGCTCAAAGTCCTTTTCGTCGTAAGTCATAAAGCGGTAATCAAAAGCTGTGGTATATCGACTTGGGTCCAGCCTCGATGCTTTCTCTGTTGGCATCATCTTACGAAGATCCCAAAGCTTCATTGTCTGGTCTTTGCCGTTGCTGAGTACGTATCTACCGTCGCCTTTACTATCAACATAGGTCAAACCCTCGGTATGACCCATGAAGACACCAGCTTCTCGGCTATCGCCCATGCTTCTCCGGTCCCAGACTTTGATAGTAGTATCGTCAGAGCCAGAGTAGAGGATATGAGGAGAATTAGAATCTCCAAAGCAAACAGCATTGACATCATCGTTATGTCCAGGAATACTCAAGATAGATTGACGGGTCTCAAGATCATAGACGTAGACGGAATTATCAGACGTCCCAGCTACGATCTCTCGACCGTCACCAGAAAAGCGAATTGACCATATCTGTAGATGGATCAGTTACGGCCATCTGAAAAGCTAACGCGGATCGACCTACGCCGAAATGGCTGAATCCTCCGTGGAAGCCTCGACTCCTCCTAGTCCCACGTCCGCCCATATCTGAAAAGTCCAGAAGAAATGGTTCACCGCTTGAGCTGGGATCTGTGGGAGCAAGGCAAACAATACTTCGTATTGAGCTGTATGCCAACCACTTATTGTCTGGACTGAGAGAAGCATCGGTAATGGTCCATTGGCCGTATGGATATACAACAGTTTTGTAATATTTCCAATTGTAGGGATTCGAAGTGTCGTACATCCGCACTTTGAAGTCTTGTGCGCACGAGAAGAAGAAATTCCCATCTTCTGAGAATTGACCAGAATAACACCGAGAGTTGTAATGAATAATTGTGTCCGCATTCGACGATGGTATCATTCCCTGTTCACATTAGTAGGGAATTGTGGCGAGTTGACCGAGGTCTGCTCAGCCTCTCGTCATACCTGTGATATAGCGCTGGCCGTTCTTGTGGACTGGCCCCTACTTGTGCCCAGCTCCCGGCTCATCAGCTTCCTTGCCAGTCTCGTGTTCCTCTTTCTGGTTGTGTCTCGGTAGTATTCATTACTCCCAAAACAACCACCGTCCATTAATTTCTTCCCTTCCTCGCTTGGTACCGGAGGAAACTTCTTGCTCGAGCCCTTCGCGCGCCGTCTACTTCGAGTTGCCAGACCTCCGAGGCCGTCATCTAGAATCTCATTCCTGTCATCTAGCTGCAATGTGATGCCAGAGCCGCCTGCCCGATGGTTGGCAAATATCCGGCGAAGACCGGCATGTCCCAAAAGCTGCAGGATCTGAGTTGGGACTATCAATGAGGTTTAGTAATTTCCTAAATAAATCACACTGCCATTTACCTTGTATGCGTGAAGGCCCTCCAGTAGTTGTGTTCGCCTGGGTCCGAGAGTCGCCACCTTCAGTTCCAGCTCCTCCATCATCATCTTGTGTGCCAATTCCTCCATCCTGAGCAGAGAATTGGATCTCAACGCCGCTCATGCCATCCTCAGCATCTGAATATCAGACAATCATACATTAGCAAACAGCCTGTACTTGGCCACACTAGGAAGTCTTTCCACGTAGAAAAAACAGTTTGATAACAACGTACCGTGGAAATCTGCCTCAACATCCTCAGAAGGATCGAAGAACTCAGCATCCTCACTCTCATCTGTTGTTGGTTCGAAAGTGTCGTCATCATCTTCTGTCTCGTCGAGCCACTCACCTTCTGCACCTGAGGCATCGTAGATGTTTGCAGCATGACTTGAAGGATCTGGAGATTCGCCGCGAACGATTTCAGAAGGGTGTGAGGTAGCCATAGTAACAATGAGGTGAGTAAAGAGTAATCAAGAGACAGACGAACAATGATGGCAATTGGCCGATGATCCAGGTGGTTCTTATCGTATCCTATTAGTGCCGGAGTTAGGCGTTACTCCGCGGAGCGCGCGAAAAGACCGATTCGAGAGTAGACGAAATGAAGCACAGTGAATACATTATTATGATATTAGCTATAGTATATCATATCATATCGAGTACGCCTGCTCAGAAGCTCCTGATGTTCATATCTTATCAAGCGCTGTAATTACACACGTCAGGCTTCATTCAAGAGCGGAGATTATCCGGCGGAAACCATTCCTTCGATCCTCCTGGCTATGGTGAATGTTAGGAATTTTGTACAGAAGATGGAGATTCGCTGGGGAGGCGTGCCATGCCAAGAGGCTCAAGAGGCTTCTTGTAAGTTGGAAGTCATAGGTCAAAGCAAAGACATGGAGTATCAAGCTTGCTCTCCTAGTAGCCGTAGTATAACTTCATACCTAGAGATAGTCAGATTGTATGTTCAAAGGATTTTGACTTATACTCACATTCCAAACATGATGGCAGCACTAGGTACGACTCTCAGCATGTGTGGTGTAAGCCCACCGTACAGTGAGGCGATACCCTCTTCTCTCCAGATGGTCGTTAAACATTGCACGATTCCAGTGTATTTCATGCGGCCATCCCTTTGTGGTGCTTGCCGTAATCGAGTCCGAACCACTTCGTGGGGATACGTGATAACAGCTGCAAAGAACTTCGCAGTGCCAGCCCCCAGAACTCTGCCACCCCAGCTCACAGAATTATCCCAGTACGTTGCTTTTCTGCCCGAAGCCATGAGCCTGTCCTCTCTGCGCCTCAAATACAGCTTCATCCGCTCATAGAGCACCCATTGCAAAGTACTTTCAGTCACTCCAAGATAGCTTGCGCTTAATCCCCGATATAGACCTCTAATTCCTTCACTACGTATTGTCTGTTTGACGCAATCGAAGGAATTTGAGTATTGACGATTGGACGAAGTGCTTGTTTTCTCCGCATGATTTTTATCGAGTTGCATCCGCGTCTTGACGACCCATATTGGGTTTGTGATCGTGCCTGTGATTATACCCGCGTTCGCAGCAGCACAAAAATTGACCCAGGCGGCGTCCTGTCCGTGGTTGAAGTTTTGACTTATGATTCTCTTGCCGTTGCCGTAGGAGTAGAAATTGATCGCCCGCGCTGGGACTACACCAGTGAGGTTGGGCCCCAGCCCTTTGAAAAGTGCTCGCCATCCCTCAACGCGATGGATGGAGAATAATAGCTGGAAAGTTTCACGGAAATGTAGGAGGGCTGTGCGAGGTAAAGAGAGGTCGGATGGTGGAGGTATGCCGCGAGCATCTCGCGTTGCTAATATTTGAGATTGATAGAAGTCGGATTGTAATCGAGTTTTGAGGACTTCGAGAGGAGATGTGAGAATCGCAGAGCTCATTCCCCCAATTCTAGGATGAAATCAGTCGATTCCTCAGTGGGCAACGGTTTCTGGATATTGGATACCCTCCCGCGACAAAATGTGCCCATGGCTTCCGCACATGGTCTTCTTGCTTCTTTGTTGTCGTGTCTTTGAGCTGGGTACTTCGTATGACATCTTCATTCTCTCGCGACTGCGGTAACGATGCCTCGTTCGAGCCTGGTGTAGGTCCTTGGATTTGCGCCGGCGCAAATTTTCCCCAGGCAGGTGGGATGGTCATGAAAAGACGACCGCCTGTGGCAAGAAGATGGCAAGCAGGTAAATCTGTTGATAGTATGTGTACATGAGATATTAGTATAACGGAATATATTTGCCGACTGAATGTGACAATGCACGAAAACTTATGCAGTCTCAAAACGGTTTAGTGCATCACGGGCTAAGGCTGAGGCTTATATGTGAGGCGAGAGGAGTTCACCAGGCATTAGCATGGCTTCTCTTGTCTTTGAAACTTGATCCTGGAATTTTGTGCTTCGTGAGCTGCACTAATATCATCACGAGTACAAGAACCTCAATTGGTTTGTGGAGTTGTCATTCCCAATTCTTCTACAAGTCGCTTGGAAGGAGCGAGGAAGATTCATCCAAAATGGCGGCATCGAAGTCCCAAATCGCCAGCCTATTTGCAGCTTTTCCAAGACAATGTAAGAGAAACCGAGAAAGAACTTTGCCTCTTTCCTCTTTGTCCTCTAACCTGTAATTCGTTTTCCTCTTATCTCATGTAATTGAGAGATGTGAAAAAGAGCCGTTACTACCGCCCTGCTTCCATCCAACACACAGGAACAGAAGTCTTTTGCAGACCACCATTTTCGCGAGCAACATACAGCGTAGCCTGTCGCCACCCTTGAAGGATGGCCTCAAATCCCAGGCAAGGCTCAGCATTCAGTCTTGGCCGAAGCTGACTCATGTCAAAAGCATGGGAGTGAATATGCAATATTAAATATTCCCTTTTCACACGTTGACTAAATTCCTTACCAATAAGTAACAATTGAAAGCTGTCCATAACACTGAACGGTTGAACAACGTGTAATCTCCTGCGCTCACCGGATTTGTACATTTACCAACCTAATTTCCGTCATCCAATAGACTCGTACCACTATCCTCATCGCTTTAACATCTTCTACATCATGAACTTTAGTTACACAGAGTCAGAGTTCCCAGAACATGCGAATAACATGCATCCTTTTGCTCAAGATACGTCTTCTTCACCTGAATCTCGAAACCTTCTAAGTCTTCCCGCAGAGCATGTAATTCCACTCCTGACAGAGGCTAGATGCTGACTAGCTATCTCAGACTTCGAAATGAGATTTGGGCGTATTGCCTGCAATTCGAGGACGACGTCGAAATAGCCGTCACGGCCAAGAGAATGATGTCCTGCAAAGGTGGTCTGCAAAATCCTGGTACAGAAGCACCAACAGCATTAGCACCACAGCTGCTCCGGACCAACAAACAAATCCGGAAGGAAGGCTGTGCAATCATGTGCAAACGCAACAATTTCTCTATCGTCTTGAATCAAGCGAGCTATTTGGGTTACTCCAGCAGAATCCCACTCAGCATATCCGTGGCAGGGGGCGACCTCGCCTCCATTCCGTCGAAATGGACATCTAAGATTAGGCATTATGTGCACCATATGCGACAACTAACCCTGTATGTTACCCTGAATCCCGAACATGAGACGTTTCATACGCCGTCCAGGATGCTACTAGAGGACAAGAAATTGGAAGTTGCTGCTATCGTTGGCACTGCTCTTGGAGAGCTATGCGAAATCCTATCATTCTCAAACAACTTGAAGAGCTTGAAAGTGAACTTCCTCGCTCTCGGCACAGAGCAATTGACAACAGGCCACGAGCATAAGGTCTTAGAATGCTTAGGACAATTGAAGGGACTGAAGCACATTGAGATTTGCGGGGTGCCAAAGGATGCTAAGGACTATCTTGAAAATATCATGAGATTGAGCAAGCGGTCTGAAAAAGAGCGGAAAGAATTTCCTTCATCGAGAGCTGGGTATAGTTGGGGATCTCCATATTAGAACAGCCGTTGACAAGAAACACGCTGTAGTGATTCTGCGGTACTTCAAAGGGGCATGAACGCCATTTCGACAAGGAATCCGGCGCCCTTCGACTTCAGGGACAAGCTCGGAGGAGATGCATTGCTTGTTGAGTATGAGCTATCAAGTCAGCAGCCTCAATACTGCAATACTGAGATTGGATTATCCGTTAGCAGGGTTTCTCTTCTCTCGATACGGATTCGTTTGGCAGGGAGTACACATTGGACCTTCCGAGTATTATTGGCGATTGGCAGGCCAAGAAACAGGCGCGGTTACAACAAAACAGGGCAAGGTGTCGACAGCACACAGGAAAGGTGACAAGGCATGGCCTCCGGCGAATCACGGGCTATCTGCACCGGATCTGATCTTGCATGCATAGTCAAGACTATTCATTTGCCCTACATGATAGCCCTTCGCAGCCGCTTTTGACCTAGAATACAGATGTAGAAAATGAAACCTTATCGTCCAATCAAACTGAGGTGGATCTAACCGATGCTTGACTTCCTAATATTAAGCGGCCTTTTGTCGTTGAAATGAGGAGGCGGGCCTTCTCCACCACATCTTCACACCTCATGTGTTGGGGCATAATGGTAAATATCAGAGGCGGAGGGAGTTGGAGGTCTCATTCTTGTCTCGTTCGTTTTGCACCGTGCGGGTTCCAGTTCGCATCCCCCGAGCTGCCGCCTTGCTGTCCTTGTTGCTGCTGGGTAAAGAATGCAGGGTTGTAGTGGGCTTGGGTACCTGTCAGCGATGAATCCCCTGCTAGCGCTGTGGTTTGTAGAGAGGGAGCAAAGGAAGTCTCTGGAGCTTCTACTTGAGAAGAAAGACGTGTGGGGGAGCTACTGGCCGGTGATGGCAAGTACTGTGTGTATTGGGCCCAAGCAGAGCTGGGGGCACTGCCCGTGGGGGGAGCAGGCCGTCCACGAATGAGGGAAGGATGGAGCCTCGTAGGGGGCGACGGCGAATAGTGCATCGCTTGAGGGATAGGAGGTGAGGAATGTCCCACCGGGGTGGCAGACGATCCGTATTGTCCAACGAGATTCATGTGGGGGTGAAAGTGAGAGCCTTGCATACCTTGCATACCCATGCCTCCGTTCATTTGTGGCATACTCATCCCCATGCCTCCCATCGCACTCATGCCCATCCCAGTCATCGGCATGCCCATTATTCCGCTAGGGTTTATACCTCCTCTTCCCCCCCGCATGCCCATCGGTCCTCCACGCATGCCTCCCATCATGGCCCCTCGGGTTTGAAAGCCTCCATAGGACTGCATGCCTCCCATGGGTGAGCCTTGGAAGCCGCCCATGCCAGAGCCTTGGAAGCTCCCCGTCACTGGTTGTTGGAAGCCTCCTCTGCTGTAGCCTGACATATTGTTCATGCCTCCACCCCGATTGTTGTACCCACCTCCTCGGTTGCCTCGATAGCCACCGGAGCCATTGTTGAAGGACTGTGGCGTGCCACCCGTGCCTCCTGCTCCTGCACCACCGTATGACCCGGAAGTCGACCGATTGTTATTTACAGGAGCGTTATTTCGGGCAGGCCCGTCTTTGGGAAGCGTACGGAAAGGGTTGGTGTAGGGATTGGTGTAGCTGACCGTGAACTTTTTCGTGTACTGTTGGCCTTCACCAAAGGATTCAATCTTGTGCTTTGCGGCTGTCGCAGCTTGCGGCGTTTTGAATAGGACATAGGCCTGACTAGTTTATTGAAAATTGCCATATTAGCAACTCATGCAAGCTTCTTCTCCTGAGAAACACTCACCCTTTACTCTTCCCGTTCACTTTGTGTTCGCTGAATGTCATATCCTCAAGCTCGTCCTCACACTGACTCTGATTTGCCCAGCCGCGAACGTCGTCATCATTGACCCACCAATGTAGCTCGGACACGAAAAGAGCGGTGGTCGCGCCAGGATCAACGTATCGATCGTCCACTCCGTCTTTTCGCTTCAGTCCCTGTGTCTGTGGTGCTTGTTTCGGAAGCTGCACAGGATCTGAACCAGATTCGTCTGTGCTGGCGATCTTTTGTGCAACATCATTGCCTTCATGCTCAATCTTTACGTCTGAATTTACTCTCTGGTCATTTGCCGAGGAATGGTCTGCTGCATTTGATGCAGGCTCTGGTGGTTGTAGAGTCTGGTCGGAGGATTCCTCGGCCTTCATCCCATCCTCCGGCTCTTGATTTTGATCATCCTCTCCGCCATCACCATAGATGTCAATGTCGAAATTGTCCTCTTCCGCAGCCATTGTGGAAATCGTTGATTCAGCTGTTAATTAAATCGTGAGTGTATTTTGTATCATGAGTACAACAGTCTCGAATTCAAGGTAGAAGTACAAGTCTGCCAGGTGCCAGTAAATGTATTAGCTTTCGAGAATACACGGTAAATACAACGTACTGATCGTTAGGGACCACTGCTTGCACGATGTTCGCCGATCGTAGAACGCAAGAGCTGCCAGCACCACTAGACAAATCTCCAGGAAAACATGCAAGAATACGTACAGGTGAAAGAAGCCCACGAGAAAAGAAGATCTTGCACTGAATACTTGGACTGCGTACAACAATTGCTTTGGCCGACGAGGTTGTCTCGGCAAATGACGGGCTGAAGTTGAAGGAGCACAATAAGAGTACAGGACAGCGGCTGGCTCAGAGGAGATCTCAGCAAACAATTTTCCAGCACCTTGCTTTCCCCGAGTCAGAAGAAGAGACGACAGTGTCACTGCAGTCAGTACGGGGACTCCAAAGCGGTGTGGCAGTAGTCTCAACTTGGAAGATGGGACCTCCAAACTTGGAGAGACAGTCAATTCTCAGCCTTGTCAAGTTGGATGGAGATTAGAAGAGTGGTGTGGTGTCTTCTTCCAAACCGCTTGTTTGTGAACGAGGTGGCGAAAGGAGCGTGATACAAAGTAGTGGTGACGCCGGGAACCGAAAATGAAGCTGGAAGGTTGTGGGTTGAGTAGTGGAAGAGAAGTGATCAAGCATTCGATGCGAAAGATTCGTGATGTAAACTACTGCGTATCTTTGAGAGTCGTTCGGGAAAATGTTTTAGCGAGCTCCAGCTCCAGCTGTCCTCTCTACTTTAATTATGGTAGATCTTTCAAACCACACAACCTCACACTCCCTCGTGTCATTGGTATTAGCTTAAATAACCACCACTTCGCAGAACATTGGGCCCCCTTTGCAAACTCTCAATACCACATAATGTCAGATCAATTCAAGGAGATCCTCGACATCCCTCGGGACTTTTTGCACGATGGCACCCAATTTATGAACAGGTTCGCCTTGTCTTCGTCCCTCAGAACTCCCTCTACAATTTACTAACCAGTAGCACAGATGTACAAAGCGTAAGCTGCGTCAATCTTTCTTGACCGCCCACCCTGACGCTGACCACGAGGATGTGTAGCTGATAAGCTTGAATTTCTTAAGATTTCTCAGGCAGTGAGTGCACGAAAATAGACGCAGGAAGGTTGATGACTTCCGTTGACATCACATAGGTCGGTGTTGGCTTCGTCGTGATGGGGGCACTAGGATATGTTGTGAAACTCAGTATGTCCTGAGCCACTTGACCCTTCACACTCGCGGCTTTGTTTACAGCATCCGGTCCTGACTCGTAGTCTTTAGTACATATTCCGGTCAACCAGGTTCTCGTTGGATGATTGTCGACGTGGCTGGTGCTTTGAGACGGGAGATAAGATTTTGTTAGGCAGGAAACATTTTTCAACACACTGTGTCTCTCGCGGCGCTCTGCCGATTGCTCCTGCCAAACAAGTAATTACAGGCCTCCAATTTCGGTTTCTCTTGCCCAATTACCAAGACCACCAAGCTGGGAAAGATCGATCTTCGTTTGTTACAATTCTCATGCAATGTTATCTCTCCTCAATTTAAAATTTCCAGATGGAAGACAGCCAAGCGCAATGCTTTCCTCTAATCGCAGACCCAAAGGCAATTCTATCCCCGCAGTTTAATCGAGTCTCAAGGATCTATTCAGCATGCAACTCTCCTTAGAACTGTTTGTTTATCTGGTATTCCTCCTCGTTTGGACCAGCGGGCTTCCGATCCCAAACGACAGCAAGAGCAACATTGCGCCCTTTGGGTTAGTTCCCCTCGCTTACAGCCGTCGGGGACTCTCGCCTCCTAACGACCAAGGTTCAGCGGCTGGAGACAGCCATGTTGGTCGGCCACAAGCTTGGGGAGGAACCCCGGCAAACACATCGATTTGCATTTACCCTGCCGTATGGTCTGGCAAATTGTGGTTGGTTATGGCCTCCGTTGCCATGATGTTGGTAGCTCTTTACGGCGTTTTGGCATTTGTTATGTGGGGTATCATGAGTGTTGATATACCAAGATTGACGGTATGGAACCGGACCGGTGACAAACGACGCAGGTGAGGCTCCGTCTGATAACGTGCTTTCAGACCTATGTAATGGGCTAATGAACCACAGAACGTTTGCTGGCAAGGTACTGAAAGTTCGAAACCGACCGGATTGGATGCTTGTTTCCCTGGTAGTTGTGTCCGTGGCCATTGCGGAAGTCCTACCATTCTTCTGGAGCCACTTGCTCATGACCGGTAGTCGCTTTTCATACCTTACGACCAATATAGTAATTATGGTTAGCCAGGTAGGACCTACGTTCGTCATGCCTGTATTCCACCTAGAGATTTCAGGCCGATTTACGTGGTTTGTTCGCTTGGTCATGTGGCTTTCTGCACCAGTAACTGTGCTCCCGGCCTACGCACTACGACGACTAAGGCAATGGAGGAGACGCGGCCGGCCGGTCCACATGGATGGACTCCTACCTCTAAACGAGCTGATGGAATTTATACGTCTCCACGAACAAGGTCAAGGGTATGGAGGGATGCTTGACGATCATGTGGGAAAGGAAATGAGAAATCTATTAGAAAGACAAATCTCTAGAGAAACGTCCAGCACTCATGTCGAAACAGAAGGGCTCCGGTCGAATCAGTTCACTGAGAGTATTGGATCAACAAGTGT